TGATGGTCAAAGACTATTGGTATGCTATATACTCACATGGGAAACTAAAATCAATACCTTATTTATATGATTTTGCCTTCCTCTTGACTCATGTTGGTGTGGTTCCTTATAACTTCACCATGGATATCTAATATAAACATTTGAAATGTTATTTCGTCCATTTTGAAATCTGAAAATGTGAATGTAAAATTCCCAACAACAAAATAGTTAAGAAAGAATGGATAAAGAAAAAATACATATCAGTTCCCATTCTAAAAAAAAATCTTTGTCCACAAAGGAATTAGAAGAGAAAGGCATCTTGTAGAATGTTTCCCAAAGTGGCTTAGCAAATTGGTTCAGGAGGCAAAAAATTTTAGTTTCTGTTTGACAACTTGCTGATTGACAACTTAATCTGTTATTGTACTGAGGTTTATTTACTAAATCATTTTGCTATTACTAATTTGTTAACCTGTTTATATATTAAATCATTTTAAATTGGTAATAATCTGCTTTCTGTTATTCGAATAATAATTTTATATTTATTTTTTTTATACTAAACTGTTTATCTGTTTATTTATCTACATGCTATGAAATCTTTAGCTGTAGTGAAGATTTTCTTAACCCTTAGAATTTAATTTTTAAATCATGTTATGTATATCTTATATAATCTGATTTATTTTTAATTTATTGCATGTGTATTTCTGTGTAGAAAAAAGTACTAAATCATATTGAATTGCCCTCTCGCACAAGCAATTTTCTACTGTTACTTGTTTGGTGCTCTGAATCAAAACGATAGTGTATTGACGTATTCTAACATTGTACTACAGTTTGTAATATCAGCTGTTGTTAATTGTTTTGTGCGAGGATGAATTAAAACTGTGTGATGGAAGGAACACTAAATGACAACTAAGCAGGAAATAAGGAGAACAACAATAAGCAGAAGATTAAGAGAGCAGTAAGTAAGCAATATTACCTTTACTTTTTGCTAATTGTTTCCTCTTCTTTCCTATGATTGTCGATTTTATATATTTCTTCGTAATACTTCTAATGCCTGAAAATACTTGACCTGTAATATTGTTAAAAATGGAGTGATTTTATTTTTAAGCAGATTTTAAATAATGCTAATTGTTTCCTCTTCTTTCCTATGACAGTCAATTTTATATCTTTCTTCGTAATACTTCTAATGCCTGAAAATCCTCATGGTGTAATATTGTTAAAAATTTTAAGTTTTATTGCATGTCAGTTGTAGGTAGAATCTTGCATAAAAGTTTAATTGCATGTCCTATCTTCCAAAATTTTTTTCATCTATCTTTCAGATCATATGGATTTAATTTTGGGTAAACCCTAAACGTTTCTAAGTAACATGTAGATTGCAGATTCTACCTAAGTGCGATTTGAGTACAGATCTTCCTAAATGGGTAATTCTTCAGCACATGCATCTGAATGTTCCTAATAATTCCAAGTTGAGGTTGTATGTCACGGGTACTTTGAGCTTTTTTTTTGAACAAATGTTATAATCTCAGATATCTTAGTATTTTTGTTAGTCTATTTGTTAATCTACATACAACCCTAATACCCTGTTTTGCAGGTTTTCCGCCTAAATACTTGCTAAGTGCTATTTACTCAGAGATAGGATCCTAAAGATTAACGTTGATGCACATGCAGTGACTGGATAAAAAAAAAAGATAAGTTGAAGGTTAATAAGTTACTAAATACATATTTTCTAGATTATGTAGTTAATTTTTACAGTATGAAACTTTTCTTGCACTATTTTGTGATAAGCTATGTGTTAGTTATATTTTACCCTAATCCCTAATCTAGGGAGAATATGAACAGATGAAATATTGAGATGTTAGTGAAATCTGGAAACATACCTTTATTTTGAGCATTTTGTTTCCTCTTTGCCTTTTATATTGAGCTGTGTCCTTAATCTGTTTCCTTTAACTCTGTATTTGTGTTATTTATCACAATTCAGGTGCAAAAACCTTTTTAGGGTTATATTTTTATGAGTGCCTCTGGACGCTGCATTGTTATTGCACTTCCATGCTTCTAGAGAATCAATTCTGAAATTTCATCATAGTAGTGAATTTTCCAATAATGTACATATTTTAAGGAACTCATGTTGTTCTCCACTCATTTCCATTTCCCCCATGGAAGTGGAGATAACATTGGTGTTGAAGAATTTCATTTCAATGAAAGTCCAGTCTCTGCATGCTGGATTGATATAAGGGAATACTTTGGTTCTCATAATAGTGTCTTTTTTATTAATTACGTGATTGTTTTTGAATGTGTTCTATTGCTAACATGTTCCACATTGGTGTAGGGAATTTTACATGGCACTGGGAGCGTCCCCCTGCCACAAAGTCAAGGCATTCTCCCCTTCCTCCTGAACCAGCTGGTTTCTATAACAATGCCTCTATAATGGCTCTATTGATATTCCACTTGATAGCACACTGTGGTTCGTGAAACCTTTCATAACTGATGAATGCATACAACCATGTTCATCATTCTTGTATTGATTTGTTGTCTATCACTTTGACTCTCAAATTTAAGTCAACATTGAATGCAGGATTTAGAAAAGAAAGAGAAAGAGTTGAAGGCTAAAGAGGCTGAACTGAGGAGGTGAGAACAGGTATATGTTATTGGAAAATCTAACCTTTACATGTGATAATGCATTTGTGTCCTGCTACTTTTTTTAAACTGCTAGCAAGACTGCATTTGATAGACTCAGCTGTGTGCCCCCCTCATATTCTTAGATGGAGTGCAGTGCGTACAGTACATATAATGAACCTCAATAGTCTGCCCCTTTTCGGAATTATGCTCTTTTTTTTTTTTTTTTTTTTTTTTTTTTTTTTTTTTTTTTTTTTTTTTGCAGCCGTTACTATTCTTCTGGTTCAACAATTCATAGCAATGTATCTGGTTTAGGTTGTTTATTTCTTAGTTGTGTTAAATGCCAACCAAATAGCTTAGCTTATTCTGAGTTTTTTCTCCCTTGCAAATTGGTATGATTTTCAAATTTCTAGAACTCTATTCTTTATCAAAAAAAAAAAAAAAAAAAAAAAAAAGGATTCAGCCGGCTCTTCTGGATATGGAAGCTACGGCGGCCACACCTCATACAGACGTTTTCCCGTGATAGGCTCTAATTCGACGCTGCTTCCTTTTCGGCTCTAATTCTTGTAGTGGTTATTGATGATAGAATCTTCTAGATGAGCCTCTTGTGATATGTTGAGCCTTTTGGCCTTGCTTTGTTGCATTGTATAAGGTAGCTTGGTTGTCTTGGTTAAGGGTGGTCACTTTTGGACCACCCTAGTTTGGTTTATTTTTTGGCCGGATAGCCTTTGAGGACTTAGGCCGAAATGGCCTTGTTGTTTTAGGCCAAGCATAGCCGTTCTTGTTGGAGACCGCTTTTGGGTCTCATGTAGAACTTATCTTTGGTTGAAATAAATTACATAGTTTAAAAACAAAAAAAAAAAAAAAAAAACCACCCTGTGATCCAAAAAAGCGATTGAAGAGTGCAAATAAAACCATTAAATATAGAGTATTAGTACAGCTTGTGCTTTTTGAAAAATAATGTATAACTTTTCTGCACTGCAACTGGCAACTGGCAACTAAGAATTTTAACATACCACAAAATTGCAACCTATACTAGTACACAATAGTTACATAGGAAAGAAATTTCACTCATATGCTAACATTGGATCATACATGAAAACATACACATTCCAGATACATGCAGAACATAACCTTGCACTAATAAAATTCTGTTTGTTTGTCGATTATGCTATAAACGAAGCGTCTTTATCATATTTAATGCCCTTAATTTAGCAACATATTAGAATTGGACAGAAAAATTCATAATATGTGAAAGGGGACAAACAAAAACTAAGAACTTTCTATATATATTTTTAAAAAGAAACTAAAAGATTTGGTTGAACTGAAACCATAGAGTTGAGATTGGTGTTGAATTCTTTATTTGCTGTGTCTCTGGCACCAAGAGTCATTGTGCCATCAAGTCTTTCATATGGTATGCTAGACTGGTTTAGTGACCACTCAACATGCATGTCCACTCATCATAGCTTTTTTATCAGTGTTTTTATGGAACACATACAAACTTGTTGAGAGTGAAAGTGCAATTAATAATTTAGCACAACATTTACCACGCTTAATCTTGAATAATTTAATTTAACGAAATTAAGGAAATTCTCAATCCTACAATTATTTTACATTCAGATTTAAGAACAAGTGGTGGAAAATAAATCAAAAGTGAAAGAATTTTTTATACTTTGTCGATTTAGATTTAGGCTAGCAGAGATGAGAATACTTCATTGAAGAAATTAAAGAGACATTTGTAACACATCAGATCACTCCTTCACTCTGATATGACCCGACCCGAGTTGATCACGGAAAGAACAAGGAGAAGATGGTGAGGAGCAAGCGGACAGTAGTCCTGATTGGGTTGGGGGTGGCAATGGTGATGGGCTTAGCTATCTACTTGCGTCTTTGGACAATCGAATACCGACGAGACCGAACTAATCAGGAAACAATTTGATCTTGCTAATAGATGAATCTGCATATTGGAGGAGTAGATTTGATGAGGAGGCAGGACAGGTTAGCAACTGCCAGAAGGAGCTACTTGAGTCTTCTGGGGTGGAGGGTACTGGCATCATTACGAAAGGAAAACATGGACTTGCTTGAAAAGATTGAATCTTTGAAACAAGAGATTGTATCAGTAAAGTTGAAATGCAGCATGAAACAACCCATGTGAGTTTTTGCTATTGAGGGAACACCTAAGTAAGCTGCTTAAGGAATTTACACTACTTTTATGCTTCCAGTAAAGGAATTGTAGAGGGCAAGAAATATTATATGATTCACTTACGTTGAGTTGTTCTGTTATAAAATTAAACAAAAAATAAAATTAAAGAGACATTACAGAGGGAAAAGGAAGTTCATAATCTACAACATATATACAGAGATACAAAGTTAGTTACAGACAACTAACTATATGAAAAACTAAAACACCTTTCATCAATCTAACAATTATTGGGACCAAAACCCACAAACCCGTTAGAGCTATCAATAGATATTTGGATCCCTTCCTGCTGGATGTTCCCTATGATGGATATTCCAGTTGTAGATGGAGCAAATGCAAAGCAAAATGTGCCCCTGTTATCAACTGGTATAAGAACGTTCTTAGTTGCAATGGTCCAGACCGGGCCACCAATAAGGAAAAACGATACAGTGGGTACCTGAACCGTACCGAGCCCGTACAGGTTGTAGCATGTATCGAATACGAAGGCCCCGGGTGCCCGAGGAAGGGTGGCGGTTTGCATCATATATGTGTCGCGCAATGCCACGTACGCCACCTTGGGGAGTCTTGTCACCGTTGTTCCGGTGTCCATGATCACCCCCCCTAAGCCCTGCTCGGTTAAACGGAAGACGTCTTCGGATATTGGGAGCTTTATGCCGCCGACGCCCAGACCCGAGAGCCCGATATAGTAGGTAGTTGGTGCCTGTACGCTTCGGAGCAAGGGTACCCACACAGCGCCCACGGGTATGGCTTTTTGCCCGAACTCCAGTGAGCCGGAGGAGTCGGTGCCCCAGGTCGCCAAGCAATAGCTGAAAACTCCTCCTGTTTGCGGGAAAAGTTGACCCATGAACGTGGATCCCCCGGCGAGACCCAGCAACCCGGAGATTCCGGTGAAACTCCCATGGTTGGTTTGGCCACACCCGATAGCCATATCCCGGACCATAGTTCCCCCAAATATGATAGTCTCAAACACCATTGTCCCATTGGTGTACGACCCATCAATGTATTTGACCCAGTACATGCACCGATCCCTGTTGCACCCCAAATGGATCAGGTCGCAGATGGTGGAGCTACACGGCACGATGGCAAATGAAGCTGAGCGAGTCGGGTCGAACACGGGGTAATATTGACTGTAGCATTTGTTACAGGGTTGACACTGAACCCACATAATATTACTCCCCGTGTCAATCACCAGAAACTGATATTGGGGCGGAGTCCCCACCCCAATCCTCACTACGTATTCCATAATACCGAGATTCCAAGCGGAAACAACCTCAGCCCCTAACTCCTCCGCCTCATACTCGAGGCCGCTAGTTCTCCGTATGAGGTCGGCGACTCTGTGTGAGTCCCTTTTCATTCGGGATTGAAATCTGCCGCCGAAGTCAGTAAAATTGGAAAATGGCAATTCATCTCTGTGGAGGAGGTTGAGCTTCCAACTACTCTCATTGCGGCTTTCATCCTTAAATTGCTCCTGGGTTTTTGGCAAAGGATGAATTTTGGTAGCCTGAGAAATGGATTTTTTTACGTTCAAATTGTCGTGAGTGAGAAAGGGGGTGGCGTGGCCGGCAGAAATAGTTGTTTGGCCGGCACAAGTATTTGTGAAGAAAAATAGTGAGAGGAGTAGGAGAAGCATTGTGGTGAGAATTGAAGTTGATCGAGAGAAGAATTGAAGAAGAAGAAGAAGATCAGAAGTGTTTAATTGAGAAGAAGCAGTGTTTGAGAAGAAGAAGAAGAAGAAGAAGAAGAAGAAGCAGTGTTTGAGAAGATGAAGAAGAAGAAGAAGAAGCAGTGTTTAATTGAGAAGAAGAAGAAGAAGATCAGAAGTGTTTGAGACGAAGAAGAAGATCAGAAGTGAAGCAGAGATGGTGATGAGAATGTGGTCTCATCTGGTATATATATACACAAATTAAAGAGATGTTGGAAGAGTACGTTGCAGAGAGGATCAGTAAGCTTATATATTTGCATGCATGACACTCCACCGCTATTTTTCTCTTTCAATCTGCTTGGCCTCCCTGAGAAATAATTAAATATAAAATCATTTTCAATAAATAAAAAAATACACCGTAATACACTTATGTAAATAAAAATAATACACTTCCAAATTTAAATGGTGGCTCAAATTTTAGAAGCATTAAATTTATCAAAATTAAGATTTCATACTTCCTATCCTAATAAATTTTAACTTAAAATAACATAATATACCCATACCCTTAAAGGCCATTTTACATTTAATAAGCTAATAGTAAACATCTAATTTATCAAACACTTTTTTTTTTTTTTTTAACCAGCTAATACAATCACCTATTAACTATTAGCTAACTCGATCAGCTATCATCAGTAATAATTTGTAAAATTAGTCCGTTAATTACATAATGTTGTTAATGTGATTCTTAAGTATCTCCTAAACTGATTATTTTGGTCCTCATGTCACAACAAGTATTAAATTTATTTTAAATTTTACATATATTTTGAATTTTTATCTTTAATTTAAGATAGAATGATACATATACATGTAAAATTTAAATTTAAAATTGGACTAACGACTTCAATTCTATGATATGCTTATTTGAAATAATCATTTTATAGGATGATCAAGAATATAATAATGTGAATGAGAATGAGAATCTGTGAAAAAAATTGTGGAAAAATGAAGAAAGAGAAGTGTTGAAATTAGGTTAGGCAATGCAATGAGAAGGGTTGTTTTTGTGTCGGACCCTAACAAATTAAAATCAACTCACCATTTCACTTAAAATTGCTATAAATTTTAGTTATAATAAAATTTTACTCTTTAACTAGTAAAATGTGCATTCTTGGCTTTCTTTCTAATATAAGTAAAAAAAAATATAAGTGATGAGATGTAAATCTAAATTTATTACTTGAAAAGAAAATGTAAATCATCACAAAACATTACCCAAAAAAATATATTACATGTTATTGACTTAATCATTAAGAAATTTAAAGTACAGTGAAATACAAATATAATATCACTCAATTCATTCTCTTAATCATCTATCCCATATGTTATAATAATATATCAAGTACTAATAATATTTATTATTATTAAATAATAGTCGCATGCTGCATGTTTCACTTCTTCACCGAATGTGTTGGGTCTTCACTCAGCTGCCTCCCACGTACTCACGTAGCATGTGTTACGTTGGATTATCTCCACTTCATGCCATATTTCTATCACTTTTCTTTTAGTATAAATAGCAATTGCTTTTCCTTTCAAAAAAAAAAAAAAAAAAAAAAAAAAACAATTGCTCTTAGTATAAATAGCAATTGTTTTTGCTTTGTAATTCATCATCAGTACGTGCATATCTTCTTTATCTTCTTTCAATTCACGCATATATATATATATATATATATATATATATATATATATATATATATATATATATATATATATATATGTTCCTTGCAAGTGAGGTATGTGTAGTCTACTTGTGGTCTCTCTATATACCTAGCTATTTAATTTAAGTCTTTTCTTCATTTTCCCTTAAAAAAAAAAAAGTCATCTTAAAAATAACTGATGAAAATGTTAGGTTGAATACAATGGTAGGGATGTCAATATAATGGAAAACTAATGGGTTGATTAAAAATATTAAAAACTTAATGGGTTAAAGTTGAAAACTAGTTTGAAATTTAGTAATTCTCTTTGATCATATCACTCGGTGTTTTGACCTTAACTGTAGGACGCATCTTTAAATTAATAGACATCTCTTACAAAGAGTCAAATTTAGAACTATGTGGTTACCAAATCAACTATTTAATTTACCTGATTGAGTCGCCCCTTCATTGACATATCTATATAATAGAAACAAATGTTAAATAATTGTCATTAATACACTATTTTAAATATTTAAAATCATTTTCAATAATATTGAAATAAATAAAAAATACACCGCAATGCACTTATGTAAATAAAAATAATACACTTCCAAATTTCAATCTTGGCTCAAACTTTAGAAGCATTTATCAAAATTAAGATTTCATACTTCCTATCCTAATAAATTTAAACTTAAAATAACATAATATACCCATACCTTTAAAGGTCATTTTACATATAATAAGCTAATAGTAAACATCTAATTTACCAAATATTTTTTTATTTTATTTTTTTATAACCAGCTAATACAATCAGTTGGTCAAACTAGCTAATACAATCACCTATTAACTATTGGCTAACTCGATCAGCTATCATCAGTAATAATTTGTAAAATCAATCCATTAATTACATAGTGTTGGTAATGTCATTCTTAAGTATCTCCTAAAGTGATTATTTTGGTCCTCATGCCACAACAATTATTAAATTTATTTTAAATTTGACATATATTTTGTATTTTTATCTTTAATTTAAGATAGAATGATACATATTGAGAATCAAAATGCATGTAAAATTTAAATAGGACTAACGACTTCAATTCTATGATATGCTTATTCGAAATAATTATTTTATACGATGATCAAGAATAATGTGAATGAAAATGAGAATCTGTGGAAAAAAAATTGAAGAAAGAAAAGTGTTGAAATTATAGGTTAAGCAATACAATGAGAAGGGTTGTTTTTGTGTGACCCTAACAAATTAAAACCAACTCACCATTTCACTTGAAATGGCTATAAATTTTAGTTATAATAAAACTTTACTCTTTAACTAGTAAAAGGTGCATTCTTGGCTTTCTTTCTAATACAAGTAAAAATATATGAGTGATAAAGATGTAAATCTAAATTTATTACTTGAAAAAAATGTAAATCATCACAAAATGTTACCCAAAAAAACATTACATGTTATTGACTTAATTATTAAGCAATTTAAAATACAGTGAAATACAAATATAATATCACTCAATTCATTCTCTTAAGCATTCATCATATGTTACAATAATCTATCAAGTACTAGTAATAAAAGGGCAATCTTTTGGTACCCACATTCCCAACTAAACCATCAACCCTAACACTAAACCAAAAACCAAAAAATCAATAACCAATATTCCAACTGGCAAAAATATAACCCACTCACTTTTTAGATTAGACTTGTGTTGTGGTCAAGTTTGGTTGTTTTGGTAAAAAGATAGATCGGCTAAATGTTAAAAAAAAAGAAAAAAAAGAAAAAAAAAAGGTAAAATGGAGACGCATTAGAAAAGAAAAAGAAAAAGAAAAAGAAAAAAGAGAAAAAAGAGTAAAAGGGAGACGCATTAGAAAAGAACAAGAAAAAGAAAAAAGTAAAAGTAAAAAATAAAAAAAATCCAATTAGCAAGCTTGCTGTTGGCTGACTCTTTTTTTTTTTTTTTTTTTTTTTTTTTTTTTTTTTTTTTTTTTTTGTAAACGTCAATTTTATTGTGTTTTTATTTTTGTTTTGTTATTTCTTTAATTATTATTTAATTTATTTTTAAATTATTGTATTGAAATTTGTTACATAATACATTTTTAAAAATTTAAATTATTATTTTTTTATTTTTAATTTGTTTTATAATCTATTTTTTTACTTAATAAATTTTTTAGTATAACTTACATTTGGTTATATATATAGTACGAATACATTTTTAAATCATTTTTAAAAATTACGTTTTTGATTTGAGGTCATTTTATTATTTTTAGTATTTAATGTAATTTATATATTGATATAAATTAATATATAAAGAAGAGAAAATAATATTTATTGAGAGAAAGGTATTAATTTTTTAAAGTGATGTGAAATTGGAGTGCATTTTAGAAAATTGGTTGAAATTGTAGGGATGTAGTGCGAATAGTAAATGATTTGTAAATTGGTTGTTGTGGAGGGATTAGCCTAAAGCATGACAAAGTCCATTTGGAAAGTGATTCCAAGGACAGTGTGGCAAGTATTCTGTGCAATTGTCTTCCCCATAGGCCAGCCTACAATATTCTCACAGCATGTAAGTTTGGTCAATGGAATCTTTCTTGGCTCCCAAGAGAACAAAACAAACCAGCCGACGCCCTTGCTACTTTGGCCCGAATCAGCACCAGTAGGTTATGTGTGCTTCAGATTCCAGCTTGGAGCCATGTTTATGACTCTTGTGTTGCCTGGGTTTCCCCCTCCATATTGAAAAAAAAAAATAAAAAAAATAAAAGTAAAAGTAAAATTCTTGTAGGCATTTTGCCTTGATTCTCTCGATGATATATATCTCTCGATGATATATATCGTAGTTGGACTAACAAAATTTACATAATAATTATTATTTTTAGGGATCGGGCTTAATAAGTTAACAAATATTGGGGCCAAAACTCACAAAATCATTTGAGCTGTCAAACGAAATCTGGATGCCTTCTTGCTATGATGGATAGTCCGGTTGGAGATGGAGCAAATGCAAAGCAAAACGTGCCCCTTTCATCAACTGGTATAAAAATGTTCGTAGCTGGAATGGTCAGGATCAGGTCACCCATAAGAAAAAACGATACGGTTGGTACCAAAACCGTAACAAACCCGTTTAAGCCGTAGCATGTGTCGAATATTGAGACGCGAGGTGCCCGAGAAACGGATTGTTTAACGTTGAAATGGTGGGAAAGGGGATGGCGTGGCCGGCTGAGGTATTGGTTTCGGTTGCGGAGGTTGTAAAGAAAAACAGTGAGAGGAGGATATGGATCGGACAAGCATTGTGAAGTAGATTAGTTTAGATTAGAGGTTTAAGCTAAGCAAATTAAAGGTGTGATAGATAGATGGTGCAGTGATGAGGTTGTTGGAAGAGTTGCAGAGAGGATAAGGGATGAGTGAGAATGAGAGCATTGGAAAGGGATGCAGACTATATATAGAAGGTGATAAAGAGAGATTAAAGAAAGAGACTATAACAACCTGCCTCATCTAATTACAAGAATGTCCCTGACAATCCTACCCTTCTACTTCATCTCATATGATCATATCCCATATTAACTATAGTAGTCTTTCCTAAGTTAGTTTTCAACTATAGTGATTCTATCCAATTTAGTCATCAATTACAGTGATTTTTATTGATCTAATCTTTGATTCTAAGAGCTGAGAACTCAATTAGATAAAATCATCAAAATTGAGGACTTAATTAAACACAAAAAATTGTTTATGACTAAATTAAAAAAAAAAAAAACTCATTATAATAGAAGACTAAATTATGTATTAACTTTTTTTTTTCTTTAATCGCCTGACTTTCAATAGTATATATTTAAACTATTTAGAAGCACCTTAAAGGTATAATAGTTTTATTAAATATAAAAATTTCAATTAAAAAATGTTCATAAACGTGCTTGTTAACAAACATGTTCGTGAAGGTGTTCGTTAATGTTAGTGAACATGTTTAATTCGTGAACGTGTTCGCGAACGTTAATAAACACTAATGAACACTTAACAAACAAACACGAACATGATTTTTAAAAATCTTAACAAACGAACACTAAAAAAAACTTAACAAATGAACACGAACAACCTCCGTTCGTTTGTGTTCGGTTCATTAACAGCTCTAGTAGTTATAAGTAACTCTTTTCCACAATAATAGGCAAATTTTACTGTGGACCACGGTACATGTAGTAATATGGTCCATAAAGTAAGTATCATTCTATTTACATTTTAGTTTTATCTGACAATATTGTTTAGTTTTTCAATTTCATTTTCACACTCACTAGTTTCACTTTAGTATTTTTTTATTTTTTATTTCTTTTATTAAATTATTATTATTATTATTATTTTTTAAAATAATAATAATAATAATAATAATAATTATTATTATTATTAAGCAATAAAGAAGCGATTAAAAAACGTTGGGAGCAAGCAAAGGGAAAGCAAAGGTCAAGCAAACCCTTACGTTGGGAGCAAGCAAAGGGAAAGTCTAATTTAAAATATATAAAATGATAAAGGTTGTAGTCTCACCTTGAATTTAAAATTTTAGTTAGGAATTAATATATTTTAATATATGAATCTTTCAATTATAGTTATCATTTTTTGTAACATACCATATATATCCACTAAAACAAGATTAATTTAAATTCAGTTTGATCATGTCGGTAGAATATAATTAATTAAATCGAGAAAATTACCGATTTGGTCCCTCGACTATGAGGATTTCACCAATTTGGTCTTCGACTATCAAAATTACTCAATTTGGTCCCCGACTATGACATTTTTACCTGATTTGGTCCTAAATGTTATTTGCAGGTCAAACCTAAAAGGTAATTTTGGGATTTAAAAAAAGCTAAGTATCTTCCTTCTTCTTCCCTAAATATAAGTCGTTTGTTTTATATAGATAGGTTATTTGTTTTCGATAGCAGTCGCAACTTCAATATGCAACCAAAGTGCAGTGAATCATCTTCATCCAACTATAAGAATCGAATGATGTTCGAAAATGGAGATGCTTATAGCTGGATGAAAATGATGTTGGTACAAGGCAACAAATTTTTGAACATCATTCGATTATTATAGGTAGATGAAGATGATTCACGGCACTTTGGTTGCATATTGAAGTTGCGACTGCTATCGAAAACAAATAACCTATCTATATAAAACAAACGACTTAGATTTAGGGAAGAAGAAGGAAGATACCTTTTTAAAATTCCAAAATTTCCCTTTAGGTTTGACCTGCAAATAACACGTAGGACCAAATCAGGTAAAAATGTCATAGTCGAGGACCAAATTGAGTAATTTTGGTAGTCGAGGACCAAATTGGTGAAATCCTCATAGTCGAGGGACCAAATCGGTAATTTTCTCTAATTAAATCCTTACTTAGAGAAAGTCTAATTTAAAACTTTTTAACAAAACACATCCACATAAGAGCTAAACATCAATTTAGGGTGTGTTTGGTTGATAGGTTTTACCCATAGGAATGGGTATGAAAGTGATTAGAGTTAATTACCAAATGCTCCCTTGACTATAGCAAAATTACCAATTTGGTCCTTGACTATTTTTTTAACCAATTAAGTCCCTCAACTTTAAAAATTTTAACCAATTTGGTCCTCCATTTGTTTGACCGTTAGTCAACCGTTAACTTGGGACCAAATTGGTAATTTTGCTATAGTCAAGGGACCATTTTGGTAATTAACTTTAGAGGTGGGCAATTCGGTTTAGTTTTCTCGAATCGAACCGTACCGAACCAATTGGTTCGATAATTTACCGAACAACTGAATGGTATTGGATACTTGTATACTGAACGGTTTGATAAAAAATCGATCCAATCCGATCCGAATTGTTCGGTAAAAAATTGAACTGAACCGAATACCGTTTGATTTTTTTTTTTTGAAATATAATAATAATAATAATAATAATAATAATAAATATATAAATAAATAAATAAAAATTAAATCAAATTCCATTGCTAATTGCTCTGCCGTTCAACTCATATTCTCACGGGTATCTCTCGTAAATGTTTGATTTGATTTCTTTATGGTTTGTTATCAAAAGTTCTCAAGAATCTATTACCGTTCAGTTGTTCGGTATATTACCGAATCTAACTAGTTTGGTACGGTTCGGTTCGAGAAAACTAAATCGAATTACCCACCCTTAAAGTTATTTACCAAAATGGTCCCTTGACTATAGCGAATTACCAATTTGGTCCCAAGTTAATGGTTGACTAACGGTCAAACAAACGGAGGACCAAATTGGTTAAGATTTTTTAAGTTGAGGGACTTAATTGGTCAAAAAATAGTCAAGGACCAAATTGGTAATTTCGCTATAGTCAAGGGACCATTTCGGTAATTAACTCAAGTGATTATTATTGTTTGGTTGATAGGGTTTTAGAACACTACTATGTGTTTCGAATACCCCTATCAGTTGAAAAACTCATACCCAAATAAAAGAAGGGTTTCATTCCCTTATTCATTCTCAAGCACAATTATTAATAACCATTCTCATTCTACCCTACTACTAAACATGTTAAATATTTTTACCAAAACCCATTACTATTACCAAGTATTTAATACACATTCTGATTCTGATTCCCATATCTGAACCAAACATACCCTTAGTAACTCGCTTACCAATTGCCCAAGCTATTGGGATGGGTTATATCCCATCCATATCTTATGTATATACTATTGGGTTGAATTTTGGGTATATGGCTAGATTTAGGGCAAATTATGTTGTGAAACATGTTCACCTTGGAAGGTGGACACGGTTTCAAATATGTCATAATTGTGAATATAGAGTTCAAAAATTATGAATATAAAGTTCAAGAATTATGAACATAGAGTTCTATAATTATGAACATAGCTTTCAAAAAAAAATTATAATAATTATGAACAGAGAGTTCTATAATTATGAACATAGAGTTCTGTAATTGTGAATATATAGAGTTCAATAATTGTGAATATGAAGTTCAAAAATTATGAACATAAAGTTTTATAATTATGAGCATAGAATTTAGTAATTATGAACATAGAGCTCTGTAATTGTAAATATAGAGTTCAATAATTGTGAATATGAAGTTCAAAAATTATAAACATAAAATTCTATAATTATGAACTTAGAGTTCAATAATTATGAACATAGAACCGTGTCCACCTTATTTACGCAATGCACATAAAAGTCAAGTTACATTATTAAAATTTTGCACATAAAAGTCAAGTTACATTATTAAAATTTTCATTTACTAAATCAGTGATCTGGTAACGTCTTTACTTTTCTGTTTTTATCCCGTAAATGTGCGAATATAGCAATGTATCCACGCATTTCACATAGAAGTGGTGATTAGGCTAATCTCAATGAATTTTCTAAAAATAATAAAAAAAAAGGCTAGTCTCAATGAGTTGGCAAAAGAATTTCACATATGTGAAAGTCGTGAGTCACACCACAACCTCAAAAAACATTAACAACAAACACTGCTCCCTTTACTTTTGTTAAAAAAAATCACAATGAAACAATTAAAAGGAAAGGAATTAAAGAAGCAGCGAAAGAATATGTTAAGAAATTAGGTATTTGAACCTTTGATCTTATCTAGGTCCAGACATGTTTTTGTCAACTCATCTAACTTATCTTTTCTTTACCTTCATCAGTTTTCAAATATCTATATGCAAAACATGTACTGTATAATACATACAAGAGTTATATATGGGCTGGGGGTAGGGTGAGCGGGGGCAGTTGCCCCCATGCTGAATCCGTCCCTGCACGTTGGTTGAGGAGTGATTCGTTGCAATCTTGTAAGTTTTCAATGTTCAAAATTTTTAATTTGTAAAATATTTGTGTCTATATTTCCTCTTGTTCGCAGATGGGTTGATGAGATGAGAGCAGATTAGGGTTCGTCTCTGGCAATTGAGGTTTTTTTTTTTTTTTTTTTTTTTTGGATTAATTTTTTCGCACTTTGGAGAGAATAAGAGGTCAATAGTAGTTTGAGATTGCAAGGTCAATGAAAATATCTATTTTATCCCTGCTTGAAATGTAGAATTTTTTTCTCTGATGAGAAATTGACAGAAAATCAGCCGGAAGGACCATTTTTGCAACAAAAACAATAGTTGTGGACTGAAATTGCAAAGTTTGAAAGTTGTGGATCAATCTTATGTAAGAAGTCCAACTATATTGTAGGTTATATTTTATATTTTATATTTTTATTTTTAATTTTTATTTAAATAAATGATAATACTTCTAACAGTCAACTAAAATATTTTTTAGCAAAGGACTAAAAATTGTGTAAAATCATCTAAATCGAGGATTAAATTGAGCATAAAAAATCATTTAGGACTAATATATAGTTCAAATGATGCACAATATAATGTTGTTGCTGGGAATCGAAACTGATTTTTTTTTTAAAAGTG